ATTTATTCATATTAATAAAGAAGTTTCATAACACATTTATAACACATTTATATAGGTTAACATTCGCATATACGTATCAAGTGCAGATGACATGTTTGGCACTGCTTAAATATAATGAAGTACTGGAAATATATTAATCAGTAAACTATAATGATATTAATATATAAAAATACATTGTACGATATACAAATTTGTGGATTCAATCAAGACTTTAGAGTTTTTCGTGAATTTGCCATACGGGTAGAGGTGGGATCCATCTATCCGTTCAGATAAACTGGAGTTTATCCGTATCTGTCCATCAGTCATTGACTAACTCCGGCAGATATTCGAATTAACCAGATAAAAATTAAAACAAAAAATTTTATTGAAAATTGGCAAAATCAAATTGGTAGTTCTAATTATAATTTTACAATAATATTGAATTTTGAATATTCCAAGACTATAATATACATATTGGGCTAAAATCAATATTTTATGTAGCCAACAACTTATAGCAATTGAATTTTATTAATTCTTTATGACCACAGCAGTATTTACCTGCTACATAATTTCCAACATAATAACTTGATAATTTAATTCTTTAAAAAAAAAATAATAATAAGAATTCTTAAGCAATTTGGTTTTTTTTTATTAATACGCATTTCAATTTCATCAATTATTTATTGATAACTACTAAAATATAAAATTTTTAGTAATTTGTTATGAAACTTAAAAATAATAAGCATGAAATAAAATTAGAATATGAGATACTTACAATGCATTAGTGTTAGTCTTGAACTTCATTACTTCAGAAATGTGTTATAGTCTTGAACTTCATTACTTCGGAAATATGTTATTGACTAAATTGAAATTTCTTTTTAAGAAAATAAACTGTTCAAATACTTGTGGTTTAAGATTAGTATGTTTTGAAGATATGATATTCCCAGCATCTGAAAAGAGATGTTTACTAGGTGTTGATGTTGCAGGAATTGTAAGGTGTTTGCGAGCAAGCTTGATAATTGTAGAAAACCTCTCTTGATTATTTTTCCACCAGTTAAAAAGATTATGCATTGGAGAAATTTCTGCTTAAGCAAGATAATCTGTTACTTCATCTATTCGAGAATAATATAGCTGAAATATTCAAGTAATAAGTGAGTTGTCACTTTTAGTTATTTGTTAAAATTCTTCATGATTATATTGTAAGCTTGCAACCATATTTTTTAATATGTTTATCATTTTTAATTTTTTATTTTCAGATACAAAATTAAGAGATTTATACTAGTGATCCAACAATGCTGTTAGCATGCCAACTTCAGAAGAAATTGAATAATAATAATGCAAGCTTTTATTTAAAGCAATTTTGATTTGTTTAATAAACCCTTCACAATTTTGGGGTGTATTAATTCAGATTTGTCAAGTTCTATTGTTTATCTCATCTATTTCCTTATCTGTATTCTCATAAATAATATCATCATCAAATTCAGATGCACTTGATTCAAAGTTAATCATTACTGAATTATCATTAGTATCTAATGCAAGGTCAAAAGCTAAAATTGAAATTATATAAAATATAAAACTAATTGTTGAATAATTGCTTCCTTCTAAAAATTTTGTTGTATCAGTAAATAGTTTTAATATAGAAAGGAGATCTTTAATAGTATCCTACTTGCTATTAGTTAAATTAATTTTTTTAAGCTATTTTACTTCTCGTTTTGATTTATGATTAGTTTTTGTGTTAAGTATACTAATCATTACATTTATTGCAGATCGTAACTTTATTAATCTTTTCTATACAATATATGATGAGTTTCATTAAGTTTTTGTATTAGCAATAAGCTGCAAATAGTGATCTGTTTTGTGTAATATCTAAAAAAAGTAATAGTATTATAATTAGTTAACTAATTAGTTAATAAATAAAATAATATATAAATAAACACACCTGACTTTAGACTTGTTTATTTTTAATTAAACTTGTTCTAACTTTTTACTTTGTTTTGGGCTCATAAAAAATTAATCAACCTTCTAGCCCGAGCAACAAGTATTTCACAAGAAATAAGTTCTTTTCTAACTACAAGCTATAAAGTGTGTATAGTATATGGTATTCGAGTTAATTTAGGTAAGAACTGTATTGCCTTAACCATATTACTTCTGTTATCAGTACTCATTAATAATATCATCTACTATATTTGCAATAGACATACCTGTATATAGATACAGTAAATATTTAAGAGCTAAAAGCAATTTGTTTAATTTAAAATTTTTATCTAAATACGAACAGGTAATTCCAGTGATGGGTTATGACCAGGTCATAAGTCTGTAACTAAATGACCACTGGTCATATGGTTATATGACCAGTGGTCATATTATTTTAAATCATATTAGGTCATATGTTTTTATCTAATCAAATTATGTATATAATTTTTTAATATAAAAAG